GCAAGAGCATTTAGAGACCAAGAGGTTTTCTCAGAACCTTTACTGACCAGCCACATTCATAATGAACCTAAGGCATCCAATACTCTTAAAGACAGTATCCTAATTAGCAGAATGACAGGATCTATGATTACAGCTGGCTGCAGGATAACCTTGCTAATGACAGTGATAATGTTAATGGCAAGATACAGATAATTGATGGAGGATATCAACTAGACTGCCTCTGCAGGTGAAGAAGAGAAGCCTCTGCAATAAAGGCATTACTCTGAAAGTTTCAGCTACATTACACTGAAGTTGAAATGGCAGAGGAAAGCAGCAGCTCCTCAAAGTATGTTTCTTAAGAGATGCGTCTGTAATTAATGTGGTATGGGGAGTTTTTACCAGCACCAAAGTGCAAAAGACAGGACTTGATGAGGTCTTCCCAGGTCTTTCAATTGCATGAAATTCTGCAACTTAAATTTGGATATTTTTCTTTATCAGAAAAATAGATCAAGCGTTTAGGGACAGGTACCTCCACAAGGCAGGAAGAATCCCCCACACCTGAGCTGGAGCATGGAACCCAGCACACACAATTATAGGAACTGTCAGGGCGTTGTACTGACAGCCTGAACAGCAATTCCAAAGACAACTTGCTGTGGAGCTGATGAAACACAGCAGCAGGGTGCCCTAGCTCAACATGGCAATTTAAAGGAGCTGAAATGGCATTAGGTGTGCTCCCACCCCGTATGCCACGTACCGCTAAGGAAAAAGGGGAAAAATATTCTTAGCCCTGACTAATACTGCACGTGCATGCTTGGACTGCTACTTGAAGATGAACACCCCTCTTTCTGATATAGAGGAGGGGCCATGAAATGGGACAGGTATGTGGACTGGTTAGTAATATGCTTTGGCATCCATTAAGGTAAATCTGTGGTGTGCCTAATGGTCTGCTGAATCAAACTGAAATGACCTCAATAGACTGAGAAAAGTAAGTAAAAAAGATGGTGGGGATTATACCTGCCAGTGGTAATGAAGGCACTTCATCACCATTTGGTAAGAGATTTAAAAATGTGCAGAAGTGTATCACACATACCTGACCAAGAAATACTACATTTATTTTTTTTTTGGTTATGAACCTGGTAACAGTTGTCTATGCTTTATGGACTGTAATTTCATTTCCTGACTCAGAAAAAGACGCCTGTAACTTAGGCTAGGGATTTTTTTGTTGTTGTTGTTGCTGTCTTGATTTATTTAAATGGATATATTGTTAAAGAAACTCTGTACTTATCCCTGTGTAGTAGTCACAACAGATAGCATTTAGGGACACCTCAGTCATGTGTTTTCTGCCATCACACTACAGGGTTAATTGTTGAGATCAAAGCTATCTTCTGGTGGTTCTGCCCCACCTGAATGATCCACAGCAGCTGTGTGCCTCATTTAGCTGGCAGGTTAAACTGACCTTAAGGCTAATGGAGCAGGATAGCTGAAAGGTTCTTGTTTATCTGACCCAACACATATTGTTTCAAGGGTTGTGTAAATACTGAGATGCATCAGCTATTCTAGATAGATTTATACACAAACTGCCTGCTTGCTGAAGCACTGAAAGAGTTGTAGCTACAAGCGATTAAAAAATTATCTGTCAGGTCAATTAGAAAGGAAAAATAAGACTTAGAGAGCCACATTAGGCTTTTTTTAAAAGCTCAGTTAAAGAATTATCATACAGATCTCAGCGTTGACTACAGGTCACCCACAATCCGCACATTTCCAGTCAGTAAAAGAGAGTTTATACTGAACCTCAGATTTACTTATATGAAAACAGACCAGAAGGAAGACAGTACACAGGATCTGACAGTGTCTCACAAAAGAGAAAAGAAAATGGTACAAAGTGTCAGGAAATGGCTTAGAAAGATAACCTCCATCAAGGAGGTACTCAGGCATGTAACACACGCAAGGAATCTGGCCAGTCTTTCTTCTGCACTGGCTCTTTTCAGTCTGCTTACTGAAAAAGTCTCACAGAACTCTTCCTTTCCATATGCCCTTAAAAGTACGGATTCAAATATTCAACATAGGAAAGCTCTTATCTTTTATTTTGGGAGATGAATGTGTTTAAAGAATGAACAAAACACCTTTCAATGTACACTGTTAACAGTTTCATTGTTGTACAACACATCTGCATGTAGTTTTCCAGTGAGCACCACTTAGTAGCTCTGTAAGACACCTGTATTCATGAGATATGAACATTGACAATTTCCACGTATTCTGCTTTGACAAGACAGGGCCAAGTACCTCAGTAGGATCAGTTCATTTTTTATCACTTCCTAGAACTCAAAATATGCTTTTTCAAATAATATTGTTTAAAAAATCTAGAAGTTAAAAAAAAAATTTAAGTACATACAAAGAAAAGTGCTCATGCACTGAAGAGCATCCAGCATCACACACACAACTGATGTCAACCAACTGATACAAACCAAAATGAAAACAAATCCTGTGTGTATAAAAATTTCACCAATTGTCTAATTAAAACATTCTTTCCAGAATCAAAGCACATGAAGACTCAAGAAAATGTGAGAAGAATAAAACAAAATAAAAAGCCAATCTCAACAAAAACCCTGTTTTTTCTAGAGGTAGTCAGTTATCAAGTTAAAAACATCTTTCAGCATTTGTCAAGTATCTTTACTCCTTTGCGTTTATTTTAAATATAAACATGATTAATTTTTATTGCAAACACATATTAACTTTTACTATCATACATCATCACTAAGACTCACCTTTTTAGTGCAGAGTTGCTCTTATATATAGCAGATGTGCCTAAGGCTAGCTAAGTGATTTTTCTAACACTGCTCAACTGGTAGATGTCAATTGTGTAAACATGTAACTGATATGCTTTAATATTAAGAAAGAAGAAGAAGGTGCAAAATCTACTTGCAGCATTTTAACAATAAATTAACAAAATCTGACTTCCCCATCAAGTGCAACATGGAGCGTCCTTGGTAAAGTTACAAAATAATGATGTACACTGGAAGAGAGTCTGGATGCGAGATGCGAGTAATCAGGTAGGGATAAAACCACCTTTCCATTCTATACTTCATCTGAGCATCAACATCCTCTATTTTCTTACCAATAAAAAATTACCACCTTTATCAAGCTCCTGCAAGTACGCTGCATTACAGTAAGAGCAAAGCAGAATTTTAGACACTGAAAGATGCCACGTTCCAGTGGCACAGAAACTAGTCTCCAAAAGCCTTTTCCTTGAGGACCTTGAGATTTGCCTATTCAAATGCAGCACCGAGGCCACCTGTTCAATTCTTTTCTTCCCAAACCAGCCTTACATAATACTGGGATTATTCTGTATTGATTTCTTGGAATTTGGGCTGCTGCATCTATACTAAAGACAATACTTTTTAAAAAGTAGTATCAATGCACATGCTACTTTATTTCCATATCGCCAACTGATGTATATATATGTATTTAAAAAATGTAATATGTACAATTTCTATATATATGTGTGTGTGTGTGAGTGTGCGCACAGATAAACATTTATTACTCTGGCCACAAACATCTCAGTTATATGGATCATTAATCATAACACTGAAATGCTGTGGTTTCCCTTACATATTTTATTAACAAGCTAAATTATTTATTGTGTCAACTACAATCAAAGCTTATCGTTACATGCATGTATTACAACTTCCAAGTTTCTCCCCTGAATTACGAGCCTTCTTTGTATTATCTGTGTAGTCACAATAAAATTGCTGTCTTCTATGTGGGTGGCAATGACTGTCTGATGTAAAAGAACTGCTTTCAGTCTATGATGAATAATCATCTAAGTCCTTAAACAGATGCAAAAGTTAAAAGATCAGCATGCAGATAATATTGTCACCAAACTATTTCTTAATACCACCAAAGAGATTTACTGGGTCACTTACTCCTTTGTGGCATTTCAATAGAATAGGTTCCCCAACTAGTACTGCATCTTAAATATAATAAACCACATCAAGATTGTTGCATGTAAACACATTTGAAAAGTTGTGCCTGTGTAACCTTTTGCACAGGAGTGTTCCATACTAGATCAAAGAGGATTCAGACCATCGATTTCACATCCAAACCCTAGCTCAAACTGCACAGCAGCATTTGGTAGACAAATCAGTAGTAAGAACATTCATATCACATGCTACAAACATGATTTCTAGGCACAATCTAAATCACATAGTTATAAGGATCACATTGTGTACGGGCAGTGATGAGGAGCCTCACCTACTCCTTGGCCCACAGTCTTAAGGAAAATAGCTTTATAGAGACTAACTCCAGTGGGGAGATCTATATCCAACAGAGTTGAAGGAGGCAAACCCCTGCTTTTTAAAACATGCAGTTCACTATTAAAACCGTATAACCACCTAAAACAAATATCATAAACTGTAAATTGATTCTTCCTAGATATATATGCTGCGCACACAGCTTTGCTAACTTAAAACCAAATTCTTATCTGCACACAAAACCATTGCCTAGTACAGAGATACCCTCCCCTACATGAAGAATAGAAACTACTGCAATAGTGTGTCCCACACACAATGTTCCTCAATTCCAAATAAAAGAAAGCTTATTATTTTCTTTGGAGAAGAACTCTTACCAATACAATACTGTAGATAGCTGACAGCTGCACTACACTTATCTAAGGAAAATAAACAAACTTACCTAAAGCACATTCCCTGTAGTACCTATTTGAAATACCTTAAGCACAACTCCCAACGTTAACTACAAACAGCTACATAATTCAAATAGCAAATAGGTAGGGGCTTCCAAGTGACTTCAAGTTTTTACAGTGACAAATAGTTTTATATGGTTAGCAAACTTGCAACCCTTTTGCCTTCTTGTTAAGTCATTTCGAGCAAGTCACAAACTGAACACCACAGAGAGTCCATCTTATCATCTCTTCAATTTAAAACCATCATGTTTATCTAACCATAAAATTTATTTTATTCTGAGGAACAGGAAGAATTCTTTAGATACGTAACTTGAGTACTTACGGGTAAAATGATTAGAAGTGGATGGATTGACACTATCACCACTGTCAGCACTTTCACTGCTAGAAATGTCATCATCTGATTCCCGCACAGAGGAACAAGGTGAGGAGCCATCAACTTCTTCAAACTTCCTCTTTAAAATTCCACTCATCGCTGCAATGCTGTCACATGCACCTGTAACAGGAACAGAGGCAATGGGGCACTGAAACATCCAACTGCAGAATATGCAGTCATAATCTCCAAAGTCATTTTTACTTAGAAGTACCCATAAATTGCCAATTCTGGTCTTGAATAACCACTTGGTATGAAATTAGATATAATTATTTAGGAGACAGTGAAGCCGTAAGAAAGAAAAAAACCATCAAAAGTCATACTCTAACTTGACATGTATGGAGATGGTTATTTTGCTAGAATAATGTGTAACAGATTGCTTTCAGGGAGTATTTTTCCCATTTCGGTGTCAATAGCATCGCTGATTTCTAGGTTATGTTGTAAAATTTCAAACAAGGAAAAAATGGAAGTTTCTTTTCAAACACCCTCACTTGGTCCCTCCCTTGGCTGCCATGGGAGGAAGAAATGTTCACAATCAGGGATGAAACCGAGTAGGAAGAAATAATTCTGAACACTACAGTTCCCATTGCCAAATATATGTGATCTAATCAGCGCTCACATCACCCCTACAAGAAATCCATCTGATAACTCCAATATTACAGACAGATAAAAGACAATGAAGTCATGAAGACCATATACCAATTTAGTGCTCAATAAATGCCTGGAATTCAGAAATTCCCCACTCCAGTCAGAGACACCAATTGCCTCCCAAACTCCTTCCTTCCCACATTAAGAAATGAGATGCCTAATATACTCCTGAGGTTGAGTAGATTATAAAGCAAAGTATTCAAGCAGAAATTTAGCAGCAGAGGTGGAAATATAACATGAATTGCATGTAATTAAGGAGAAAGTGTACCCTTAACGAACTGAGGAGAGACCAAGGACAGCTGGAACTTGCTCAGAGGATGCGCAGCTGCCACCATGCCACCCGCAGCACTGCAGAGGCAAGCAGTGCTGATACTTATCCAGGCAAAAAGTTTGTCTAGGATTGATGACATGCTAGACTCACTGAGTAGGACACACAACCTAGCGCTACGGACTTACCACAGGGTTCTGCCAAATCCCACTGAAAGCAAGGGCAAAAAAAATTGCATTTCTCACTGAAATAGAACTTTTTATATCCCTGCAGCTGCCTTTAGGACTCATTAATTCTGAGCCAGCTGCATTCTGCTCCATCCAGGAAGTTGGACTAGACAACCTCCAGAGGCCCCTTCCAACCAACATTTCTATGGTTATATGGTTAAAAAAAAATAAATCTGTCAGGAAGCTAACATATGCTGAGCTAAATGACTACTAGTAAGACAGACAAGGTTAACTTGTCTTGTTAACAAGAGACTCCAGTACTGGCCATACTGTTTAACAATTAGCACATTTCAGAGTTTTGGCCCAGGCCACCTCGTACTCTCCTGGACAACACAGGATGAAGCAGGTGCCAGAACCATTCCCAGCAGGCAGGCTGGACAAGGGCACCCGGGTTTTGGCAGGGGGCTGGCAGTTTAGCCACTGTGGACAAGAACCATACCCTGCCACTTGGCAGCAGAAGCCAGAGAATGCTGTACTTAGCCTGCACCTTTTTAATCTTTTTAATTAATATAGAGGTAGTCTCAGTGATGTAGCTGCTATGTTCTGACCCTGTAAGCACAGCACTTCAGTAGATCCTCTGGCATCTTTGCTCACACTTGGTCTAGTACCAAGTAGTTTCAATGTCTATGCATCCTATAGCTCCCTTCAAGCCCCAACACCAGTTTCCTTCCTGGAAAAAACAAAGCAACAGCGTGAAGAGGTTTGCAACCAACTTTTGGCCTGATATGAGGCTAGAACAGGATACGGATGGGTATATGAAGCTGAGAGCTACAAAAAAAAAAATTAAAAATTGATGGGCTCACCAGGTTACAGAGTCTGTAGAACTAATTCAAAATCATAATTCATCAAACATTGAAGTCTGTCTATAGGAAATCCTGGGACTGAGGTGGAAAGAATATCATGGTTTCATCCCAGTGCAACAGAAAGTTAGTTCTAATTACTTGTTTTGCTTTGCTGACAAAGCATTTTACATTGTCTGCCAGCTCCTAAGCACAGCAGGAGGGAGTTATGGGCAGATTTAAACTTGCCTTTGTAAGTCAAAACTAGAAATTATGGATACATTATACAATATTTTTATGATATTATTTAATTACAAGGACTAGAACAGAAGTTTTATAATAAGGGAGTTCATTCACTTCTTAGGAAGCAAAAGCTCTGAGAAGCACATACATGATTACACTAAGTTTAATATCCTGTCTCCAGCAATAGTCAGTATTTAACGCTTCAGCAGAAAGCAATGGGATGAGAAATCCAGCCACAACCACTGCAGATACATGGCTCTGCTTCCTCATCCTTGCAGTCAATTTCCCCTAAGCATAAGGCTGAAATGTTGCTATACGACAGTGCACAGCCTCTTATAAATTCATTTGACTTGCCCTCCTGAGGCAACAAGTTTCATACTAGTTTATCGGGGGAAAAAACCACAACAAAACACATCTCCGAAACTATAGCCACAGACCCTTCAAAACCACAGCAGTTTCAGTCTTTACGATGTTTTGGACAGTAAACAGCAGCAGAAACACACCACTGTCAGGCAGTAGGCTGTACTAGATAGAACTCCACACATACAGGTAATCCCCACATAGTGAAAATAGCTGAAGAGAAGTCACTGAGGTCTTCTTGCTGTTTTATAGTGCTATTTCCATTTCAATCACCAATAACAATTATATTACAAGGGAAGTGCAGTGCATCTGCTGATCCTGTATAGAATTAGTAAATGCCTCTATACTTGGGAGGGGGTGCAGGGAGGGAATGGCAATGGAGACACAAATGGAACCGTAGCATCGAGTTACTCATCCCAAAGCTGAGGAGTCTGTCCAACTGCTGCAGTTGCCGGAAAGCACCCGGCGTGTTACTGCCTACACTCTCAATCGCACAGCTGTGCAACCCTTAACAGCCTGCCACTGGGGAAGTCCCCAAAGCAGCACAGCCTCTTGCTGACACTATTCCACTTTTAATGTGGTAACTAAAGCGTTCATCAGCCAGAACAAGGAAGAGAAAGTGAGCAAAAAACTGTGCAGGTCTGAAAACACTTGTGCACTCAGTTACTATTCAAACAGATTCTTCTCAATTCTGAGTTAATGATTCCCAGAACAAGACATGGATTCCCATCAGAAGGTATCCAACTCTTGAGAGTAATGTACAGGAAGCACTGGTCCCTGATACAGCCAACTTGAGTCTGCTCTGGGAACTGGTGCCAGATTCCCTAGGGCCAGAAAACAAAAGCAGGAGGTGTGATGTGCGATCTCGGCAGGTACGCGTTGCCACGCAACACAGTACGGCCACCACCAGTTGCAGTTACACCTGCTCAGTCTACCCCCTACAAGAGCACAGGGGCATACAAATGGTTGATTACTGTCTGTTGACTGAGAAACAGCTGCTTTCAATTGAGAAACCAGTAACTTTTGAATTACTCCAATGCCCTTGTCTTTGACCAGTCCTCAAATCAACACCCCTTTTCTAGAAGGCTCTGCCCATCTGTGACCAAACTGCCTTCTTCAAAGGCATCTGAGCTTTCTCAGGGTCTCACTTTCTCACTCCAAAGTTCCCCTAGCATAAAGGCCGCTTCTGCACATACCCAGAAGCTACAGAGATTTGAGATGCCTGAATAACTTCACATCCAGGTCTCCCTGGGAGCCTGAAACTTGGTGTTCTTCCAAGCAAGGTGTCTAAGAACAAAAGGAAAACAGAGTATGAGTGCAGAGCACGTTGAGAAGGAAAAGGGACAGAAAGGTTGGGCCAGGCCCAAACCCATGAGTGATTGTTTATGTACCCGAAGGCTGGTTAATACAGTACAGCACTTGGCATGCTACCTGTGCACACTCTCTTTGGACTATGAATCCTGGCAATTTTTTCTATACAGTGAAACGGTCTCCACCTAAGCAAAGGACCAGGGTGCTCTCTGCTAAGCTATAGCTTAGAGGCAGCAGTTACTGAACAACAGATTGAGCTCTGCAACATCCTGGTGAGTTCCTTAGCTGTTAAAACTACTGTGTAAATTACAGGAAACGCGTTCAGCAGCAGATCTTTACAAGAAAGATGTTTTAAGAGGAAGAGTGACCTATGTTCTGCTCTTGAAAGGGAAGGTTTATGGGCCTGCCTTCAGGAGTGGGCACTGGACTGTGACTGTGGAGCATAGGGAGCTTCAATAGCAAACAGCTGAGCTGTGGTTCCATGCTGAAGGGTAACCACCCGGACACTGGGGATTAAAACATTTAACTCTCAAGCATCTAACCTCTAATTGCCTTGCTTCTTATTTCATTAAGGGGACATGACTTAGGGACTAAACCTTACTCAGAAGCAAAAGACCTGCAGTCCTCAATGACCACAGCCTATCCTTACTAGATTTTAAAAAAAAGTACTTCTGCTCAAAGAGAGTCGTTGGAAGGACAGGATATTTTACAGCCATCTCGACACTGCTAGGGAACACATGCTCCTCCCTACAGTATGTTACTGGACCTCTGCATCAGTAAATGAGCTCTGCTAGCACTGTAATTTTGCCTTGCCTTCAAACACAATGGGATTCTGATCAATTCTAAAACACTTTAAAAGGAAATGTTTGAAAAACAAAGCAGATGTATTAAATAATAGGATCTCTGGGGAAATGATAGCTTGGCCTGTTCATTTTCAAAATTCTTTTTCTGAACATTGATCCCTCTCCCCTTCAATAAGAGGCAACTGGATTCCTTTATTTTATCTTCTGGCGACCTTAAAATCAACTCGGCTCTCTTAACACCTTTAATTACATCTTTAAAACATTAAGTTTGCATATCACAGCTAACGTAATGTCAAGAGTACAATTTAAATATTTAGTCAGAACTTCCCTATGAGGAAATATACCTTATACTACACAATGCTTGCTTTAACTGAGAAAACATTAACACCTGGAATTAGAGTGACACAGTATTTAGTTGTAGCCTACACACTTTCTTTCAAAAATATTTCCAGCCATTATGACTTCAAATGAGGATG